TGCTCTCCTGCAGTCACACCTAGCAAATCTCTCGTGCTCCACATTCTGCTCCTTGCTATCAAAAGGGTCAAATCCCCACAGAAGGGGTAAATCCTCATTCTGCCAAATGTGGCAGAAACCAGTGCAGCCAGGTGTTTCTGACTGGTGGTACTGGGCATGGCATGCTGCTGCACAGGATGGGACTGGTGACCTTGGCTGGGCAGATGATCATACATATGTAGCAGTATGAAAATCACCTGAGATATCTGTAAATCTGATTTCCTGTTCATTAAAGAAAAGGTTTCTCACCAGCTACATCCCTCTATGGTTAAGCTCAGCAGGGCCCTTTTCCCACACCCCTCAGCCAAAAGCATCCAGAGCAGTTGGGTTATCAGGTGAAGGGGGTACAGAGCACTTCAGATCAGTTTTGCCCCTGGATCTCCGTGGTCCTGCCTTACAGGGATTTCAGACATTAACAAGAAAAGCCGATTACACCCAAGGCAGGCAGGCAGAGCAGCCGCTCTCCTCACAGCTCTCATCTGCTGCTTCAGCTCAGCTCCTGCTTCTCTGGGGGATTGATCCCAGTAAATGGACACAAGCTTGTTAACTGTAATTTTTGTTGATCCTTCAGATGCCTAATAATGAAGATTTTTTTTCCTTTATTTTTCTTTCTCTCTTTTTAAAACATGGTTAGAGATTCACATGGAGGGCTGAGACAGAGCAGTCCATGATGTATCCAGCAGGATCAGCTCTGATCTCCTCTTCTAGCAAACAGTTGCTCACCTTCCCTTGCAGGGATCCTAACACAGATTCTGCAGATGAAACAGAGGCTTGGCTGCTCTCAAGCCACCAGTTGGCTTTTCAAAGCCAAGATGTTCCTTTATTTTTGGGGCAGTGCTCTGCTATGCTTGTGTGGTGCAGACAAGGGGCTTCCCCCAGCAAGATAAAACTTGTGCAATAGCCCATCAGAACTCTAACCTTTCTATATAGAACTATTATAGTACAATTTATTTATAATAAATAAATAAATAAATAAATAAATAAATAAATAACTTCTACCATAATGACATAAATACCTGCTAGGGTTATACTGTAGTATAACTGGATAGTTTTATCATAGTCTTATGTAGTAAAACAGTACTATGGACTATACTAATTCTTTCTGGTTTCTCTTGGTTTTAACTTATTATACCTTAATAGCTAAATTTCTCTGTGTAGAGATTAGATTAGATTAGAGCTGTGATCTGTTATTACAGCTATAATAACTTTGCAGTTGGAGCTGGAGGTCAGTGTCTGGGAGCAGGCTGCTGACACAAGCAGGGAGGTGCATTAGGGCACCTTCCTGTGGGCTCACATGACCCTGCAGGGCTGGACACCTGCAGAGAGTCTGCAATCTGCCAGAGCGTTCCTGGAAATCTGCACATTGCTTGGATGGACTCACATGGAGGAGAAGTGGATGGATCTGGAGCACACCTAACCACCAGCCTCTCCTGAAATGCTCTCTGATGTAGACCCTGTCTCAAAGTTTAGTTATCTCATAACTAAAGTTATGAGTGCCCTCTCAATGTCTAATTAATTCAATCTATGTAAGGTAATTAACAAATATATAAAAAATTCTATATTCAGTTAGACAAATGCATGCACTTACCTAAAAACCTCTGTTTTGCTGAGAATCCAAGTCCCAGGATCCTGCACAGCAGATCTTCTGGCTTACAGGGACGAAGACAGAGGCCCAACTGCTCGTCACAGGAAGGGCAGGGCTAAAGGCTGCTTATCTAAAGTGCCTGAAAGTTTGAGATAACAGCTCTGCTCCCCAAAATTGCCTTAGCTTAAAAGTGACGTAATGCATATAGTGCCAGTGACATTCTGTAATGTGCATTAACTAAATCTAGAAAATATAAGAGCTGATCTGGCCAAACAGGAAAAAAACCCCAAAACATTTTAGTTGAGTTCCTACTGATCCAGTAAAAGATTGAAGATGAAAGTTGAATCTCAAAGAAAATGACTTTAGAATCCAGACTCATAAACCATCCACAGGAGACTCAATAACAGTAAATTTTTTGTAAAGGGATTAAAAAAAATTGGGTTATATAAGTTGAAATACAGTAAATTACAAGCAAGGTTAGCACATTGTCAAGTCCTACACCCAGAAGACCTAATAAAAGGATGTAGTGGCAGATCCCCAGTTTGTCACACACACACACAAGATCAAGCTGGTGTTTAGCATGTCTCTAGAAGGACTATTAGAATTTTCATTTTAACAAGCTCTCCTGGCTCTGAAGGAAAAGCTGGTTTGTTAGATAATGTGGAGATTTTTCTTTGTGAGGCATCCCACAACGGACTGCTCTGAAAGATAACAAAATGTTCAACATATGGAGAAAAAAAAAATTCCCAGCCTGCTGAAGATATCAAGCTTGATGAATACTTCAGCTCTTACTATTTGTGTGCCAGCTTTAGAACATCTTGAAAAACTTTGACCAGATTCCATGTCAACCAGGAATGTTCTCTTCTCTCATCCCACATTTGAAGTTGGGTTTGCAAACATCTCTGCTTTAGATCACAAGAGTAATTAAAAGCACTTGACCAACATTTGTACTGCAGCTATCATGAGGTTGTTAATCAGTGGTAAAGAATCTACATTTTGTCAACATAAGAAGCTAAAAATATCATGCCTGTAGTAGTATCATTAAGTAGGATTTAATTAGGGGACTTTCAAGGGAACTTTACCATAAGAACTGGGTTCTTACTGCTGAAGTGAAACTTTAGGTTGTATTGCAGGAACCTGCTGCTTTGCAGTGCTTTGAAAGGCTATTTTGAGAACAAGGTCTCTGCTAGCATAGTCTATTTCCAGTCTAATTTAATTGGCTTTTTAATAATTGATTAGACTAAGGAAACAATTTCATGGAACCACAGAATAGCCAGGCTGGAAGAGGCCCCTGGAGCTGCTGTATGTAGTCCCACTCCTGCACAACAGGCTCAGGCAGAACAGGTTTCTCAGGGCTGTATCAAGTCAGATTTTGAATATATCCAAAGCTGGAGACTCAACCTCTTCACTCTATTTAATGTTTTCCAGGGATTTTTGCTTCACTCACATTGCCTTATGATAAATTTATATTTTATATATATATTGCCTTGTAGGAATTTTAGCTGCTCCTCCATTTACAGTGAGTTAAATAGTTAATAGTTTTTAGTCAATTAAAATGCTGCTCAGTACAGGAACAGCTGTACTTCAGCTTTTCATTAAAAGAAAACTGAACTTCAAACACAGTACAAAGGGCCTAAAATGAGTATCCTATTCTACAGGAATGCACAATAGCTTTTGGATCCATAAGAAACTCCTCAACTATTCTGTATCATTAGTGTTATTGTCCCTTTCTGGAGAATTTTTAAAGCAAGCCAGTGTTTTGTGGAGAAGTGGCCAGAAGTTTGATTGTGCCTTTAAGCTAGGAATAAAACTTGTCTTGTGTGTGTAATCTGTCTCAAATGTTTCTTTGGGAAGGCAAGTAGACATTGCCGTAAACAGATCATGGCTTGGTTAACAACTATGTCACAGGCTTGAAAAGGTAAAGTTAGGTCAGATGGACAACAAACATGAGCACTTCCTACAGCATAAGGAGCATGAACAACCCCCACTGAGTCTGTTTTTAGACTTGACACAAAGCCAAGGCACTTGGGAATTAGAAGCCAAAGAGCACTTTCTGTCTCTAATACAGATAATTTAAAATACCCACATCAGAATCCTGATTTTCCATGATCTGTGTGTGTAAAAAAACCCCAGCACTCTACCCCACAATGGTGTACACAGCATCCAGGAGCTCCCTTTTTTATTACACAGCTGAGAATAGAAGATGACACCAAAATTTACACACTACAAAGCTACCGAAGAAAACCCCAAACAAACCAAACTTTAACCTAAAGTCACAGAATTTAATTTCAAAACAATATGCAAACAAATGTTGCTTGCTTTCCAAGGCACAGTGGTGTAAACATAAAAACTGCAAATGACATGTATTTAGTACAAAAATATAAATACTGTTAATCTAAATGACAAAACAGCACATTTTTCCATGTATAAACCTTCTTTAAAAAATTCAGCTTTACTCATTCATTAAATGTAATACAATAAAAATAAAAACCATTCTTTTAGTGCTACCTATTTCCCTATTACATCAGCATAAATATGAATATTCAAAACATTATACTCTTTGCTGCATTATGAAAGAGAAGTCTGGCTGTTTTTTTTCCTAACAAAACTGGTCACCACATACCTGACTGTGAAGTGTGATTTTATCCAGTGTGAAATGCTTTTTGAAAGACTGAATCCTTGCTGTATGACATTAGTAACTCTGACATTAAATTATTACATTGTCAAATAATCTAAAAATTAAATTCCTGAAAAAACATCCCTTCTTTAAACCCTGTATCTGAAAAACCAATGCAAAGTGAATTAAAACATTGTTTTATTGCTAGAAAATACAAAGAACTGTTCAAACTGCAAAGAACATTGAATTGTGCTAGTTTCACTTTCAAATGAACCAACAGTGAATTTACAAAGAAAAAACAATGTATTTCCAGCTCAGCCTTTCTTAAGCAAACAAAAATACAAAAATAATCCAAGTCATACAGATTTCACATCAGTTTCCTACACAGAATCTCAGCAGTGATTCATAAAGCTGATTCCTTGGCTGACTGGATGTGATGGAGCAGCTGATTACAATAGACTGGCGTTTGATGCTTGTGTACAACCCCTTCAATTTCTCTCACCAGCAGATCTGGATATAAAATGCTTCCTTCCTTTAAAACTTCTGTAAGACAAAAATAATGTTTTATAAATCAGTAGCTGCTTCATGTTTCTCTACCCAAGTTCCCTGAAACAAACCAGGAAATTGTTTTACAAGTGGTGCAGTAATGACAACACAATTCCTCCCTCCCCCATTTGCTGAGGTCTGTATTTTGATATTTATGTTCATCAACAGAGGCTACTACACTAATAAATTCCAGAGAGCCCCTCCTGCAGCTGGGATATGGTCACACCCTGCAGTGCTCCATATCCTGTTTACCATCTCTAAAGTCTCTGGAGGTTCAGCTGCCCTGCTGCCTCCCTGGGGAACACTGGGCAAAGCATTCATTCTGCACACAGGTAAAAGGTCAGAGCTCATCCACTGAAACCCCAAGGAAAGCTCCAGCCTGGCAGGGTTATCCTCTACCTGTAGGTGCTGCTTCATGAACACTCAAAATTATGATTTAAAAAACATTGTTAAAAATATACATGGCTGAAATTCTTACCTAGGACTGCTTTTTGGAGATTTTCATCTGGGTCATCGAGATGTACCAAGAGCTCTTGGTACAGAAACTCAACATGATTTTCCATTGAGGATTTCACATCACTGTCCTTTAAGCACTTAAACCAATTAGCCAAGGTGTGAGCAGCTGCCAGGCGCACCTCGCACGAGGCATCGTCCAGACGCTTCAACACCTCTGAAAAGGAACCAAAATGCTCTGGCAACACTGCAGCTGGCTTTTGCATTTGAAAAAACAAATGCTTTCTATCAACATTCATATTATTGTTACAAATCTGATGTACTTTTCTATTGTGAGCATAATAAATAGATGTATGCACTGCTCCTAAAAAATCCTCATTCATTGTTATTGGATGATTTGTCCAAACATTAATAAATGTTATTATATTTATTATATTATATTAAATATTGGATGTTATATAATAAATGTTATTGTATATATTATATTATATTATGTTATGTTATGTTATGTTATGTTATGTTATATTCCATTATATATTATATTATATTATGTTATGTTATGTTATGTTATGTTATGTTATGTTATGTTATGTTATATTATGTTATGTTATGTTATGTTATATTATATTATATTATTATATTATATTATATTATATTATATTATATTATATTATATTATATTATATTTTGGATGTTATTGTCCAAACATTTATAAAAGGCATATACAGAAGTATTTTATTAATTGAACATTATCTAGCACTCCCTCTAACAAAGAACTATAGATGTCTATTTATGCATTACAGAACTACAGAATTTAAGTATCTATAAGTTTAATAAAGAACAGCATTTGTATTAATTTGATATTAATTAAATTATTAAATAATATGAATTAAATTATTAAATTCAATATTACTGTTTCAGTGAATTACTGCACTGCAGACTACGTGAATATGCAAGATGCAGAGACATATATAGTTTGAGAATTATCTGATCATGTATGTCTCCAAAATAAAAAGATTTCTAGTGTGCCATGTAAGAAAAAATATCAGTTGCTAAGATGCTGAGTTGGGGAAAGCCAAATTTATTTGTCTGTACAAGAACATAAAACCTGGCTCAAAGCATAGTCTGTACTTCTGAATAATGGTTTAGCACTTCATCCTAAGAGGCATTACAGCTCCTAGCTCTAATTGGCAATACAAAACTCTAGATTAGTTTTCTTTGGTTTTTTTTTTTTAGATAAAAACCCAACCCACTACCTATTTAGGTCTATTTATGGTACACTGAAATGGTTTGCTCTTGGCTCTCACACACAGCACGGAGAACAATGTGACTTCCATTTATACACTGCAGTACTGTTCTGCTCTCACTATACTTAGCACATTATTTCACATAGTCCAAACTCTGAAGCAATGCAGATGAGCTGCTGGCAAGCGCTGCACAAACCAAAGTATTGAGTGAAGTTCCACCTAGTGGTCTGATGGATAATGACGTTGGGAATACTGCTCAGTTCTGCCAAACCCTTAAAAGTCGAGCCAACTGTGGCATTTGGGTAAAAAAGCAAAAGTTAACATTGCAATCTTGATTAAAACACACAAACAAACCAACAATGCCCTCACCCCAAGTCTACTAAAGCTTTACACATACCTGTGTAAGTGTTCTTAAATTTATCTGCATCGAATTGCCTCCCACAGACTTTCAGAAAAACATCAACAATACGACAGGCCATCAGTCGAGTAATTTTAGAGTCTTCATCCATGGAAGCAATAATTTGGGGCATCAGCTCATCTTTCACTCTTAAGATCTACAGTTAATAGGAAAATCATTAAAAAATACGCTTAGTGTTACAGCACTTACCATTAGTTGTGGAAGATACTTGTTTGCTTAGTTAAAAAATTTGCTATAAATGTTACCCTGAAAATCCCTGAGGTTACACAGCTCTAATTTTGCCTGTGTTAGCTTGGAAAATGAAAATCCACCAGTCAGTCACCCAGCTCATGAGCACTCAGTATACAAACAGATGAGTTTTATGTAATTCATATGTATGTTCAAGGTTGTAAAAGCTTTAAACCTTATTCTCCTTTAAAAAAAAACAAAAACAAAACCAAAAAAACCAAATAGTGGCGGCTCGGAGCGAGCGTTGCGCACAGGGAGCAGCAGGTGGCGCCCTCAGCCCAACGGGACGCTCAGGGCTGTGGGCCTGGCAGGCTCGGAATTGGAATTAATTCCGAGTGTTTCACATCAGCCATTAATGAGAAATAGGCATTAAGGCACCGATTCAGAGAAAAATGTTCAGCTACAACAGCAGCTTCTGATATCAGCGTTTTTGTATATGTGAGCACTTTGTTCAATTAAGGTCTGGTATAAAGACACTAAAGACTGTGAACATCTAATAACATTTAAATTAAATTTATGTTTTAAAATGACCTTGTATTTAACATATTTCCAGTGCATAATTTCCAAATGCTAATTTTGTTAGCAAAGAAACTTCAAAAACACCCCCAGATTCAATTAATGCTTTTTCAGGGATGGGTAACAACTCTTCAAGTGCCAGCCCTCCAGTCTCTATTCATATTCTTCATGTTCCTTTTCAAGTCCTCCTGTCCTTTCTCAGAATCTTTAGATGGTTTTTTATTTTCTCTAAATGGACCTGTGGGCTCCAAGGCAACCAGACAACTTGTCTTTGCCACGTGACAGCACAGCTCATCCTGGCTGGCTCCAGTGCTGCTGCACAGGCTCTGCCTGTGTGTCCAGTAATGTCCAGCACCCAGATTGTTGTGTTAACAACACCCAGACTGTTGTGTTCACAATGGTCAGTACCTCAGGCTATAGAATTAATTAACTGTTAGAAAAAAATATCTACAAAATTTGATGCTACTCAGTTTTACACCTCAGCATTTTGCTGGCTTCAGATTTCTTATTAGGATGTCATCATCCCTCCTCTAGTGATTGTTTCAGTCATTAACATTCAATTTCAATTAATGAATTTTATTATGAAGACTGTATGTCCTTCTGAAAATATTACTTACCCTAAGGATTTATTCTTTTTTTCCCCCTTGCATTTATTTTGTTTTCCTGCCTAAGATTTCAAAGGATGAGAAAGAGAGAATTTACCTCTTTTGGTGAAAGCATTTCACAGTGGATGAGAGCCCAAAGGCACAATACAGCTGTAGCACGGATGGCAGCTGCTGTTCTTCCAGCATGCCACTGCAGATTAGGAGCCAGGATGTCTTTTATCACAGTCTCAAGGTAGCTAGGGAACAGCCTGAAGCCAAAAATAAGAAAGCAAAATAAAGGTTCATGAGAAAGTGATAAAGAGACTGACAGGATGTAAAAGAGAATTTTCTAACATAGAAACATAGGCAGAAAAGGGGAAAAAAGGGACTTTGTAAAAAAATAAATAACATCTTCTAAGGCAATGTTATTGTAATGTATGTGATAAGCTTTTCACAACTTATTTTTTCTAGATAATATTTAAACAAATACCTAACATTCATAGGGAGGCTAGACTTACTCCCACTTCAGGCAATGACCATGACTCAGTGTTATCTTGGTAAACTTCTTACCTTCTCTGTGTCTCACCTTCCCTGTGAGTGCAGTGGAGATAACACCCTGTGCAGTGCTGTGAGGATTCATTAATATCTGTGAGGCCCTTTGAGACTGGCCAGGGAAAAGTATTTATAATGTGAAAAGTATGAATGCTATTGATGACACTGATACAGCTGGGAGCCTACACAGAATATTTCAGCTCTCTCTTGGCTCAGAAACTTGTCTCCCCCAGAGATGCGAGGTCTGTCAGATTTTCTGATGGTGCCAGTCCCCATACTAAGGTTTTTTATTACAAACACATAAATCTGTGATGTTTTTGCTGATTCTTTTTCCTTCTTCTCCATTCAATGGGTTATCATAATGCTAAAAGTTACTGTGAGAGTCAGCAATTACAACAGGCAGGATTCCCTCACAGTTGTTTAGCTACAGCTGAATCTCAAATCAAGAGGGGAAAAAATTACAGATCTTACAAGTTAATTAATGTTTTGCTGCATTAGTGGCTGGCTGTGGCTGGTAACTGAGGCTCAGGTTATCTACTGTGCCCTAGAGAGCAGCTGGCAGTGCACAAACAGACTGAACCTCCCCTGACTGTCCCTCTGAGCTCTGTTCAAAGTGCAGCCCCTGAGAGCCCAACAGCACATCCCCACCCTGCTGCTTGATACAAAGGGAACAAGCTCTTGTTGACTTTTCTGAGAGTCCCACACTGCCAGGGTGAATGAGTGGCCCCTTTAGTGATGTGCCAAGACACAGGAGGAACATAACAGCTCCATGTTAACAACTAACAATTACCAGGGAGTGCTTTAAATAGAGTCCATGCTGCAGGTAGTCCCTGTTGTCCAGGTATTACCTGACTAAAGCACCAGCAGCTGCACTGCCAGGCCTCAGCTATGTGCTGACACACACCTGCACATTGTGGAAATAGATCCACCAGGTTGCTGCTTCCCCTTGGCAAGGGAGTCCTTGGGCTCTGAAGAAGTCAGAGATCCATCCACTGCTGCTTCTTGTCAGCAGATGGCACTTAAGGAATAACAAGAAATCTGACATCCCATTAGACACATCTAAATCTGTAAAACCCTTTAGATGTGGTAGTTTAAGCACATTTTTAAGCATTAATAATTTCCTGTTTAAAAAATTGTTGGAAAAAAATAAAACTAATGATCAACATCATTCCAAATCTCCTTTCAGCTCCAAAGCAAAAGCAGCTCTGTGCTGTCTGTGCTATCTGATCAGTAGCTGCTTCTGCTTTTAATAAAACTTTCTGTTAAACTGCAGTGAGAAAACAATCTGTCAAAACACCAAGGTAAATTCCATCAGCATTATGTTAACCATGGTGCTGTGCTATTTGTGAGAATGTTTGTTCTAGTGCCTTGAAACAGAATCAGTAAAACAATATCTGGCAATTATCTTACTCAGTCGTGTCAGACTCAAACACAATTAGGTGACCACACAACTGTGTTTAGCATAATAACCAAAAGCCTCCCTATCCAAACTCTGAGAACCATTTCAAGGACCTAAACAAATTACTGACAGCAGTGAATGTGAGAGTGCAACTGGAACTTACTACTGCTCCCCAACACTATCTCTCATAACCATTAACATTTCATTTTTGCTGTTGCTGATGCAATTAAATGCTCCTTCTTTCCATTTTCAGATCTTATTGCTGTAAATCTGTGTAACTTCATTCTAAAAGTCAGTAATTTCCAGGAAAGGACATACCCTGTCTGTGCTGTTTGTATTTAGAGTTGATACTTCATTCTCAGCTGGATACAAGAGCACTAAAATGTGATGTGCAGAGACATTAATACCCTGCTCTTATGCAGAAGTTTCAAAGCACAGCTTGGGTTTCCATTAAAATTTGTTTTATGAACTTGCATACTTAAACTTTCATTCCATGTTAATTATTTTTTATACATTTTTGTTTGGCATTGGTTCCTTTTCTGCTTTTATGACACTGCTGCACTTTGCCTTATATGTCTTGGGGTTTTCTGTGTATGCTTTTGTTGTTTCTTTTTTTAAAATGTAACATCCTAAACCCAGATAATTTGAAACAAAATTGAATTGGCATTTACAAATCAAAACCTCCAGAAATGTTTTGCAAACAATGCTTCAAACACAAAAACTCCACATGTTACCTCCTACATGCAAACATTTGCTGTGTCCATGGTAAGCACGATCAAAACTTCAGAGGCATTTAGCTGCTTCCACTGCTTCTGAGTCTTGAAGATAAACCTACTGGTAAAATTCATGGCTTTGCTTTTGCTGTCAGAGCACAGAGCCTCATTATGAGCTGGGCTGGACCATCCCTGATCCAAGCAGGTTTGTGACCCTCCCTGGGTGTATCTCATCTGACAAAGGCCATTCACTCACACTGCCCTGAGCAAAACAACTTCCAGCATGCTGGCTGCAGAGCTGGGGTGCTGTGTGGCCACACTCACTGAATTACTTTGGAACATTCTTCTGTTTTTTGCACACTGATAATTTCCCTTTCCTGAGAATATTAATGAAGCTGGCAGCTCGCTGGGTTGGGTTTCTTGGTTCCAAGGGCTTTGCATTCTCAGTTAAAGATACAAACTGGTTTAAAACAAATAGTCGGATCCTGGAACACTTCAAACAGTTTTCAAAGTGTTTTTCTTTTTTTCTGGATTGTAGAATATCTAGATTAATCTTATAACTATCACTCAGTTACATGATTATTTAAACAAGTAACTGACCACAGTTTTTACAGTATTTAAACAAGTAACATCCCCCCTCCCCAATTCTTTTCCTAAGAATCCCCCTTTTAGCTTTCAAAAAGTATTCTTTTCAACTACAGCTCTTCATTTTCTTTTTGAAAACTATCCAGATCTGCATGGCATTCCTTTTAATTCCCAGTAATGGCACAAGTAGGAAGACTACAGTGGAGGAAGCCAAGACTTCCATTTATTTATATATTTTTTTTTAATTACTGCACTCTAGCCTCCTAATCATTATTAAAAATTACAGCAAGAAAAATAGGCTGAAGGAAATGGTGGGAAAATCTTTCTTCTTCCAGCCACGCTCACATGGAGATGGTTATAGGGGTTAAATAACTCCCAAGGCCATTCTTTCTTAGTGCCACTGGAGTTTTCAAATAGCTGTGTGAAATCAGAGCTGCACTTACCCCTGAGAATTGATGGTCTCACTTGCTTTCTGCAACAACTGGGATAAAACAGTGAAGAGCTTTAACCTCATCTGGGGATCTCTGTTTGGCTGCAGACACGTCCTCAGAACCAGAACAAAGTCATCCAGAGCTTCACCTATGACAGCACCTAGCAAACAAACACAAAGGCTTTTTTCAGAATACTAGTAAGTTCTATTTACATGTTTCATATGTGGGTGCATTAAAATTCCTAATACAAGTGGTGTTAGAACAGTCCTTAGCCTCCCACTCAGCTGTATGTGACACCATATTGGGGGTGCACAAATCCCCAGGCTGACTCCCCACGGGCTCAGGTACCCCAGTTTTGGCCAGGGCAGCCTGAAGATCAGTTCCCCATGTCTCATTTAATCAGCCTGGCATGGCTGTACCACATTTACCCACAGGAGCTGTGGCTGCCCCATCCCTGGAAGTGTCCAAAGCCCGGTTGGATGGAGCTCGGAGCAACCTGGGATAGTGGAAGGTGCTCCTGCCCATGGCAGGGAGCTGAAACTTGATGGTCTTTAAAGCTCCTTCCAACCCAAACCATTCCATCATTTCATGACTCTGGAATGGATCTATCCATGACACCCCAGAGCTGCTGGGACCATCAGTACCTGAGGCACTTTGGCTGGAGGATTAATGCTGCTCCCTTGTAACTCTGCAAGTCTGAGGCTATGCACAAAGCTTTGATTTTCCTAAACTTAACAAAAAACTACACTGGACCTGGCATGACCCTCACACCTCTGGACACAGCAGCATTAGCTACATTTTCTTCTTTCAAGTTTTTCCACATGCAGCATTTGAATGTTCATGACTCCCAGAGGCACAGGAAAGGTCTTGTTTGAAAGGATCAGCTTCAAAACTTGGATAATACAATTACTGCAGCAGCATTCCTTCTTCCTTTAAATAATGCTTATTTTCAGCTTATAAGACAATCCAAAATATGATGTATTTTAGAAGCTACTTGAAATAAAAATATCTTCTAAATTAACTCTTTAGTTTGTCAATATTTTCACACCCTGTGAAAAATTTAAATAATAAACAAACAAACAAAACTCTAAGCTGTTATCCCAACATTTTAAGAAGTTCTTTTCCCACAACTGAGGGAAATTTGTGCCTTTCTCCTTGATAATGACTAACATCTGCCTGCTTTTAAGGAGGAAGACTGCATAAGACTGTGTGCATGCTTTATTCTGCAAACTTTTTGCTGTAGAATGCTCTTTTTGCTCTATTTTTGCAATAAACTACTTTCCTTTAGGAACTTCTTCAGCTTTGCATCCTTAAGATGCACATTCTATCCAACTCCACTAACTCAGAAAATCCTTCCAGAGGAGACACAACACTGGTATTCATGATGACAAGAATATTCTTCACACATGGGATGGACAGATTGAAGTATTCAAGATTCCAAAACAAGCTCAATAACAATTAATAATATCTGGAAATTTAATGTTTAAAACAATAATGAAAAAACTCCAAATTTCACTGTCTAGACTGAAGCAATACAGGGTGTTGAACTGCAGTTTGCTAAATGTCTGTGCCAACAAATAGGTCGTTATTTTCACAGCATTTATTCAAGATACATTGCTTCATGTGAGTTCTGAGACATTCACAAGATACTACTACTATATCAAACTGATAACAGCAAATTCAACAGATGGAAAATAAACAAAATAAACTACACTGCTAAATTCAGCTTAAGCATATGCTCCTGAAAAACATAAAAACCTCGAAATATGAATTAAGTGAAGCTGATTAAATTGATTAAAAACAACATTATGTGTGGGAATAAAAAGAAAGAAAAAAAATAGCTCTAGGAGCTGCTGTGTCAGACAGAAAACACAGACAATAGCATATTACCAGTGCTGGGTGCAAGCCAAAATGTTTGCCCAGACATTGGATGATTTATTTAGCATTAAGGAAAACAGAGACAACTGTCTAGAAGTCCCTCAGTCATGGAAATGGGAGCACAAATATACAGAGAATTTGGTCTCTCAAATCTCACACTGAAGTAACTTTTTGTTCTTTCCACAGATGAAAACCAAAAAAAGTACTTATGCTGCACAAACCAACAAGTGGGTGTTTCACATAGGTTTGATGAGGGTTTTTTGAGATTCAAAGATTAAATGCAGAGGATACATTCCTTTTAAATATACCTGTGCAGTAGCCACAGTGATACTTCATGAAGTGACTGTCCCCATCCCCGTTACAACCAACAGAAAGGAAAAAACAAATAAACAGGACTTTTCATAATCCTAAAATGGGTGTCTAGGTGGAAAGCACTGCCTGTCCCCATGTCCCTTGCTGCAGATGCCAGCTGGGGGCTGTGGCAGAGGAGTGCTCACTGTGCAGGACTGAAGGAGTGTGAGATGTACACCAGAGTGTGTCACTCACCTTGCACAGCCACGTGCTGGACAGCCTTAGTGAGGAGCTGTTTGTCCTCTGAAACACTTGTGATTAGATGGGATAAAAAGATGGAGTTTTGGACACAAGCTACATCAATTTGTCTCCCCTTAATCCTCACCTATTTCATTCACCTGAAAGTGCATTTTCCTTAAGTGCTTTTAGCATTCTCCCTGCAGCCACAGAATCTTTGGGAATATGAGCTGCTTCGTCATTTCTTTTATTTTCCATCATGTTCTTGTGAAGGTTCTGAATGTTACACTGTTCATTACAAAACACAAGGTGTCTGCAGGCTGTGGAGATCCTGACTGGATCTTTTTTAGAACTAAATAAGTCATACCTGAATGGGTTGTGATGACCTCAAACTGCAACACTTCTGGGGAATAGCAGCTCCACCCTTCACAGGACACTGCAAGCCACTCCAGCAGCTGAATTATGTGCTGCTTGTAGAGACCATGAAAGCTTTCCAATTGCTGCACTGCAGCTAAGGAATACATTGTTTTCTCCACCTGTTAGAACAGAGACAGGATATTTAACTGAAACCATTAAAAAAACCCCCAAACTTTTAAAACTTATTCTGTAAGAAAAGAAGGGACATGGGAAGATTTTCATAGCTTCTATTAAACAATCAAGGCTGATATTTAATGTCTGTCTATACTACATCCATTAACTTTTATTTGAAGTGAAACATTTGTCCTGATTTCAAAATGAAATCATCAAGAACACAGGAACCTAACAGCAAAATGAGAGAGTCTCTAACCCGTGTGCAGACCTATCCAAAAACTAACCACATCATAAAAAAGGCTCTTAGTGGTTTTAAAGATGTAGTGATTTTTCTCCTTAATTTAAGAATGCTTTAAAACATAAAGACGGGGGAATTTCTCACAATCCCAAGCCATGGTAGCTTCCAGAAAGTATTGCTGTTGCAGGTAAGAGAAAATATGGAATTTCCCCTCTTCCCTTTCTCCCCCCAGTTTTAATAATGAAAGATTTCTCTCTTTGTAGTAGCTGGGCAAGCTCATCTTGAAATTCACAACTTCTGTTGCCTAGAAGTACCAAAACTCACTGTTACATCAGAAATACCTTCTTCATGTTTAGAGCTAAGACTATCCTATGAGACATGCAAATAAAACATGTACAAATGAAACATGTAAGAAGAACTACTAAATGAATTCCAGACATGAGCATGCTTGGCAAGGATGCCTATAGATCCTCCTAATCACTTGCAGCAGAAGTGTTTCAAAGCAAATGAAAATTTGCTTTTACAGTTCCTGAAGGCTCCTACCAGAAGTGTAAAACTTCTCCAAGGAGGAGATTAAAAGCATGCTGGAAGCAGGATCTGTAGCCTTGGTGATTTCAGCAGACTGTGAATCAGGAATGGGGAGCAAGGCCCTGTTGGGAACCTCGCTGAGGAATAGCAAGAGCTGCCAGCAGGGCCAGTTCCAGCAGGGGAAGATGGAGTGCAGTGCTGGCAGTGACATCACTTGACTCCAAGTGCTGCAGTAGAACTACAAATTGTACTCATATTTTTAATATTTTTAAGCTGAACTCAACCACACAAGTTAGCTCAAACATGTCTAGGACCTTTAGACTCTTCCAGACTAATCACTTGCCAGACAAAGATGTTTTTATGGAAGTACCAGATGTGGAGAAAATAAATGAGAATTCGAAGAAGAAAATAAATAAATCAGGATTTGCTAAGGACAAAGGTTACTCTTAAAGCAGGTTTGCCTGCCTCAAGCACAGTAGATTTTTCCTTTATGGAAGCATTCTGCCAGACAGCCAAGACAACTCAGATAAATGAATATTTTACATATAAGTTACTTGTAAATTAATTGTAACATTAAACAGAATGTGTCAGGACAGAAACTATTCCTCATTTTTAGTCCCATCAAAACACATAACACACAAGATTGTTTTCCATTGAACAAGAGATACAAAATAATACACTGTTCACATATGATTTAAAGTAAATTTTGTGCTTTCAAGAATGCAATTAAAAACAAAAAAAGAGAGAATAAATTAAATATGCCAGCAGGTTGATGAATGTTTTCTCATTAAGCAGTGTTTCACAGTTAAATAAAAATTAAGGTGATTTTTCTTTCCTCTATTTGAAAGCTAACAAGTTTAATAACACAATATTTTCCTGCTAATAATCAGTGTGCTGAAAGAAGAGCCAGGATGGCACAGGGCACTGGTAATGAAACAAAACCTTATTTTCAGGTCACCAGTTAAATCCCCGACAAGCTCAAATCAGACTCCACCAACTGATACAGCTTCAGTCCCTTTGGGGCTGTGGCCCACCCTGCTCCTTGTGCCTCTGCTGGGCTCAGCTCGTGCTCTTGGTCCATTCCCTCAGCCCCCAGCAACCACAGACACGATGGACACAAAGCCAAAAATCAGGACACAAAGCCAAATTTCAGGCCACAAAGCAAAAAATCAGGCCAGGCCTGAGTGTTCACCACCAGGTCACAGCAGTTGTGATCTCCACTGTCTCAGTGGTCTTCTGTCCCTTTACAATAAAGCCTGAATTAAAGTTCTATAATGCAAATTTTTTGAATAATTTGTGGTTATACTCAATATCTTTTGAGTCTGAATACAGATTTCTTTTCTGAACAAAAACCTCATATTCATACAGCAGCTGTGATACTTTTGTTCTACATGTTCCAAAGTTATTTTAACAGGCACTTCTTGCCTTCTCCAAGCTCACTTTGAAGTTTTGGAATAATCAGTAACTGGAGAAAAAAAATAAAATTCAAGCCATATTTGTCTTTTTGACAATTTTGAAATATAGCAATTATGTAATCTCACTGCCAGATTTTGTATGTGTCTAGCTGAAAGAAAGGCTAATGAGAAAAAGGATTCTCATCCAAAGTTCTGTCAACTTAAAAAATCATCTGGAACTGCAGGAACATCTTAAACCTTTAATAATCTCAGGAGATTAAGTTTTCCATTTATGAAAATCAGGATTTATCTCCATGAAACTGCTTTCTTCTTAGGAGTATGAAGTTGTAAGGTTCTAAATGGACATTGCTGACTTTATAGACCACTGCAGAGAGAAACAGGCAAGATACCACAAAACATTCCAGATCCATCTAAGGATGAATTTTGTTTAAACCCCCCCCTCAAGCAAAAAAACAAAACCTCCAAATCCCACTCCCATAAGACAAATCATCATCCCAACCCTCTTTGACCTGCAAAGTCTTTTCAGTACTTGTTTCAAGCTTTGTTCCACTTTATTTCTTCCTGAAGAGCTCTCTGAGCTCTCCTTGGAGGCAGCCTGTCAGCTCTGGGGCCATAAATACTGATCCTGCACAGGCCTTTGGAACACCATGCCTGGGAGCAAGAGCAAAGGAAGCAGAATAGCCACTGCACTTAAGGTGTGTGTTTGAAAAAAGACAACTGGGATAGGACATAATTGTACTGCATGAGGATGGCTCGCTGATTTATATGATATTTAGCTCCAGGAAGAAAGAGGAAGAGAAAAATAAGGGGGTGAGATAATGCTGAGCCAAAAAGCTCATCTATTATCTGGGCATGTACAGCTGTCCTTGATTTTAAAGCATTCCTGTGACATTCAAACTTTTGTTTCTTGTGGGGAGGTAAAAAGGTCAACTACTGTAAAATCAGTCTGATATTTGGCTAAAGATGAAAAAATCACATCACATTTTTAAGGCCAGTAGTACTCTTGACCTCTAAGTGAATTGTTCTTTAACAGCCAGAAAATAAATGTCAGGTTTTTTGTGAATATAACCAAACATTCCCAGTTTAAAAGGTAAACATCAACAGTTCAACCAGCACCACCAGCATGCCCAAGGCTTTGCCGGATCCAATACAAACATAAAATCTTGGACACTTCTTGTTCTGAAACTTTACCTAACTGTGGACAGGTGGTTAACACCCACCCAGAAAAAGGGCTCTATGAGGCCCATGGCCGCCCCCATCCAGGTCCAAGATTCCCATGCTCCAGTAATGCACCTCAAGCCATCTATTCTGAAACCTAACCTAAACACACAGAAACAGAAAATTATAGTTGTAACTGCAGCTACAGACCCATACTAGATGCTTCTGATTACAAAATAAAACTGAATTCCTTTTCTGGAACCAGAATGTATTTTAACTCTAGGAGCTTTTAATCAAAGTTATGAAGAAACATAATTCTCCAGGCTCTGCTGTCCCAAACTGTAAACCCAACTCCAGATTTAATTCTGGTACTAACCATGTACTGTCAGAGATGCACAATCTCAGACTAGCCACAAATACTCCCCACAAATAATTATGGCTCTGTTTCCACAAAGTGTCTTATCAATATGAAAAGACAAGAACAGAACAAAACATTCAACCAGCTCATAGTTTACCTTTTCTTTAAGGTCCTGAGAAGATGGTGTTGCCATTATGGTCACCAAAACTTTCATTAGCTGCAAGCTAATTTCTTTGCAGTCTTCCTGGCACACTTCAATCAATGCTTGCACACAATAAAGCAGCTGCTCCATATAAAAGACCTATTTATTAATAAAAGCACAAATTTATTATGTTTTCTTAGCAAATATAAGGTTTTCTTTAAAGGAGAGATATGGGAAATGACAGTAATTAAATCTGAGCACTGTATAATCCCTTACATTGCTAACACACATGTTAGTTCTTCTAATTACCTATATTCTATGTTTTACAGAATACAATATAATCTTCCTCCCACACTGTTTGTTTGTGTTTACCTTGTCCTGTTAACAAAATAAATGACTCTGCTCTTAATCAGACAATGGTTCCACTGGTGAATGGTGAATAAAAACATCAAAGCATTTTGGAGTGCTTGCTGATAGTACTTTCTCTTTCTCAAGTGCAATTTGTTAATTAATAACATATTTGTTACAACTCTTTGAAATATAATTCCATGTTTGACTGTCTTGGATGAACAATGACAGCTAAATACATAAACAAAAAAACCCTGAGCCTTTGCTTTTATCTCAGCCAATTTATCTCATTTGATGCCATATCACTCATGTTATCTTGATCCAACTGATACCAGTTCAAGTCAATACTGTTGTCAGTTAGTTTGCCATGACTTCTATGATAAAGTGCATTAGATATCCATGAAGCTGTCAGGGAACAGAAGGGGCCATTGTTACAAATTTACTCCCAAAAAATAAATTAAGTCTAGGAATAGGTTAGCCATAAGTGTTATTAATCTCATGGACATGGTCAATCCTTAGCTAAACAGTGTCTGTGCAGCATTTACTGGCTAAAATAGAGATTGTTTTCCAAGACTAAAGGCTGGAACAATTCTGCCAAACTTTCAGCTGCAGAGGGATCTGACTCCTGGAGCCAATGCCAAATGGAAGTGGTAAGCCTAAACCTCACAGCAATTTTGCAGCTATACCTCAGGGAATTGTTATTTGAACAATCAGGTTATAGTGCTTCCACTTATATGAGCTCCTAATCATCACAGGCTTCATGGAGATTAAGGTTAATTCCTGCACCACTGGTACATATTCCATTAGAGAAGAAACCTAATGAGGGAAGAACTTGAAATGTATTTCTTACATTGGCTCAGAAAGACAATTAGGGCAGATTCAGTCTGCACACATGAATAACTGTTTTAAGGGAAGCCTACATCTGACATGAAGTCAGAGCTCCTCAAGGCACTGCACTGGCCCTTTTTTGGTCATCTTAACAGCAGAGGTCTAACAAACTCCTGGTGGAATGAAAGCCAGGATTTCATTTGTGGGGAAAACTACAGGGATTCCTCTTGTGCATCTCTAACAGATCAATTTCTACATTTGAACCTGGGAAGGAAAAAAATTCCTGCAGGTTAAAAAATATCCATTCCATGTTTAAGAGAATTGCTCATCTCCTTATATAGCAATTGGTGAATATTCTTCAAACGCTAAAATAAAAATGGTCTTTGGGCTCAGCTATTACCTTGGAAGTAAATTTCTAATTGATAAAGGTCTTCCTTCTAGACTTTCACTTAAAGAGAAGAAACAAAACCCAAAAGTTTGCAAAACATTCTCCTAAATATATACATAAAGTGCGGGTACCTGCCTTTTAAAATGGAAAATAAGAATGGAAAATAAAAACTGGATAACATTAAGAGGGAATCTTGGGAAGACTGACACACCAATTACAATGTACTATAAAAAATTTTCAGTGATTTTTACTGATGAGGATTGAAGTGCATGATCTTGTTTGGATTGTGAACACAAGGAATTTCAAACCATGGGTTAAACTCTGCCTCAGGACCAGCCAGGGCAGTCCTTTGTTAGTACAGTACTTACTAAACAGCTGCTTGTCTCCCTGCCTTGCCTCTTCATTTTCTTATCACTATATAAAGTCTTTTAGAGCAGTTCTCAAACCTGAACCTACATCTGCTGAGAGGATGGACTGTTGGTAAGTCTCTGAATGCAGCAGAGTTGCCCAGGAGACCCCAACATGGCCAGGAAGGACGGGAAGCTCCTGTTTTATATCAGACACATGTCCACAACTGTATCCTGAGACAGGTGTGCAAGGGAGGGATAGAAATGGGAGCATTTAGGGACAATAAGTGCAAAAGCAGTTTTCTCATGTATCCTGCTGTGTGTTTTTCAGCCTTCCTTACCTCCTCAGCCCTCTGACAGACTCCAGCCTGTGACAGTGTGTTGCCAAGCTGGGCCACATGAGGCTGTAAGATTTCTCTTGGGCTGCCTCGAATCACTGCAGCCAGAACCATCACACAGGAGGCTTTGGGGGTCTGCTCAAAGGCTGGGGTGATTAATTTCAAAGACACCTTAGGGCTGACAAACGTTCCAATCAGTTCTGCTGCTTTCACACTCTGAAAAAAGAACGGGAATAACTTGAGGATTTTCCTGAAAACACAAAGACTGTTCAAGGTATCATGGCCTTTTTCTTTTTATGATTCCAGCTGTTATTTTAAATGCTTCAGCAGTTGCCTTGCAGGCCTTTTCCACTTGCTCAGTAATGATTAGATGCATGAAGAGATTTTCTTGACATGTTCAGTAAGCACATAATAAGACATTGCAAGCAGCCCTCCCCACATCACACAAACTTCCAGGAGAAAGCAGTGCACAGAAACAAAGTTTACAACTTCACTGTAATAAAGTTTCCAATTCAGAGTAACCAGATGTTGCACATTTAGTGGTTTAGCACTTTGTCCCTCAAATGCTGTTCTGAGGCTTGCCCTTAACGCATCACCCCTGTTTGTTAAAAACTGATTTAAAACTAACTACAAAAAAAAGGAAGGAGGAAATTTTTGTTATTGTACTATACCTTGAAGCTGACATTACAGATCAGGTTAAGTGTGGAAGCAATGCCATGGGGGAAGTGCCCACTGCTTTACATCTTACTTCTTTAACTGAAAGGTTTAAATTACTGTGTATTCCCCATGACAGGGACACCCTTTGATCCCATTCCTGCTTTGCAGATGTATCAGGATGTTGTATTCCACATGAAATACCACCACACCAGGCCTTACTGCCTGACTGATGCCCAATGTTTACAATCATGTGCATGAATAAAGAAACAATCAACTACTGCAGCACTACCTGTGCAACAGGAACACTTCTTCCAGTCCTACAGATTTCATGGTTGGGTCATTTCCCAAAGATGAAAGCTTTCTCTATCATTTATAGTGTAGTGATTTAGCTATGACTTTTTTTTTTTTTTACCTAATTAATACTTGAATAATGCTGGTATTTTAGTCTCAATAGAAGCACACAGTAATGAGTTACACAGTTTAAATCTGCACTATATAGAGCTGTTTCTTTTCACTAAGATAGGACTCAAAGGAGTTGTAACACCCTCTGTGTAGATGTGAACTCCATTCTCCTCCATATTTCCCACAGAGAAGGAAAAAGACTCTTAATGCTCTGAAAACTGGACAATACAGTTAAAAGAGTTAAAAAATATGATTTCATATATTTGTACTGATCCATTTACTCACTTTAATAGGGCAAAAAATTGAAAGGGTCTCATTTGGTAATACTAGAGTGGAGAAAGACATGGGCATTCTCCAAGTTGGTGGCTGCTCTGCAATGGGTTCCTACAGTGACAAACTAGAGGAAGTTATCTCAGTACCCTGGGAAGCTGCATCACTATGAGATAACAGGCATCCCAAACCAGAACTTGCTGACTCTTATGTTTGGCACAAGGAAAAGTACAATTAAATACTGAAAGCATCTCCCAACCAGGACTAAATCCCTGGAAGCACCTGTGAGAAGAGCAGTGGTGGAATTCCAAGAAAGAGACAATTATAGCCAATAAAAGGCAAGGAACAGCTATGTGCTGCTTGAACACATATTTTGAATTTAGATTTATAGCAATAAGTACTTGATAGAAAATTTGACAGAACAGCAGGGCTACATGGCCTGATTGTCCTAATTTTTTATGTTTTCTTTCAGCCCAGCTGAGAGCAGGAACCTAAAGAAAAGCCTGATTTAGGGTTGGACTATTTGCATCCAGTAAGCAAAACACATTCTTCCAATTTCCCAAAGCAGTAAAACTTGTGACTTTAGAGTAAGTTACATAGATATATTTTTGTTATACATATGTTCTCTTCCTTGAGTAGAAACAGGAACAGAAGATTTTATCTTAAAATTGTAAAAGTATTCGTACCACCTGTCTTTCTTTTGCTAAAATTATTTCATGTCTTCAACTGCATCTGTTTTACTGGTTTGTTGATCAAAGTGTTGAAAGAATCAACTTTTAGTAAAAATCAAACTAATTATTCCTCACAACCCCCCTCAACCTGCATTTTCCAAGCATTAAGTCAAGGATTCAAACACTGAATATGGGTATCACATGGAATAAACATTCCTCAATATATGGTTGTATTATGGAGTAGGGAGAGGTAAGTGGAATTAACTTGAAAGGGCATGACCTGCACATTTTTTTACATTGAATTTGTTGCCCCAAGGCTTTTACACTTTAATCCACTGCTTATAATTTTCAGAGAGATTATTATCAATGCTTCATGGGGTTGGCATACAAACTAAACAGTATTTAAATAACTTTACTGTTGGTCTTCATACCAGTAACAGAGGAATACATTTATTTTAACAGATTAGGAAGGTATAACGTGCACATGTTTTTAACATCCATATAAAGCTGAGCCTGATCCTTCACTCATGGGCAATTCCCAGTGACCTAAGGTAAAGTCAACCTTCTATAAAGTCTTTATTCAGTGTACAACAGCTACTTTAGCAGATCAAACTTACATTTTTAACCACTTCACTTTCTTCATCTGAGCATGCTTGGTACAAAGTTCTCAGCAGCAGCTCCATGTGTTGGGTGATGTGATCCTCTGCATGCAGCAATAATGTGTACAGGAGCTGGGATGCTTTGATTCTTGTGCTTCCAAGCCAGTCTGTGATATCATGACAGAGACCTGGGAGAATTTTGTAGAGGTTTCTTGACACAAGTTCCCGACAACCCAGTCCTGGTCGAGTCTCTAGAAAAAACAAAACCAGCACAAAAAGTAATATCAAAAGAAAATGTTAGATTGCTAACAATCTCAGAAAAGTTTAAAAGCTGCAAGGTAAGAGCTCTGGGTGTCTGCTTCAGCATAGAACAAAATATTCCAAATGCTGCTGAGGAATTTACCTGCGCAAGTTGCATTTCATTGCAATATATATTGCAGAATTAAATATTGCAGAATTAAATACTGCAGAATTAAAACTCCACACAGCTCTTTGAATATTTATCTATTTATTATTGGATGGTGATTTAGATTTATGTTTTAAAATATTTACAGCAGAAGAAGAGAAAGAGAATTGAAATGAATCCGTGTCTTTACCCACTTTGGAAAACACAGCTTAATAATTCCATTTTAATTTTGATAGCAACACAAATCCCATGAAAAATAAGCTGAAACACACACAGACAAACAGAAGAAAGACTTTTGCATGGAAATGATGAGGTCAATATAATTTGGAGGAGGAAAGAAGGTAGAAAGCACAAACAGTACAGAAGACACAGCTGCAGTAAAACAGACAATGTCAATTGTGCCCTCTAAAGGAAAAGGTTAAAAGTGTATCTGGCAAATTGAAGGCAGAAAGGGCACAAGCTATGGCTTGTACAGATGCTGTGTAACAGATCAGGCCAACAAATTGACAGTGTTTTAAAAATCACAGCTATTATATAATCTCCTTGCTAAGGCTTTTCCAGGAGAAGCAGCTCACTGAAGTGCCTCTTCAATGTTTCAGAAACTGAATAATACATTTAAAATGATGATACAGGAGTTGGGGGGATATAATTTTTTTTCTTAAGACTGAATTTAATTTATAATGACTTTGTGGAAAGTGAGTTTTTGTGGTTTGATTTGTCTTTTGATTTCAAAAAGAACTCAAAAGTGTTACAAAATATATTCCTTGCCTCAAAAAAGGACTCAGATTTCTGGAGAACTAACAAACTTACCTTTCCCAACAAATGCCAACTGTACTGTCTTGGTGATCATCAAATTTAGTTGTTAGTTAATTTATAAATCACTGAGATTCAGAAGAGCAACTTGACCAATATCACAAACATCTAACAAATGTCCTGTTCTGTACTTTAAATCTGTGACAGCGCTTTCCAAAACACAGCAATAAACTTCTTTAGAGATTTTTTTCCTACAGTCTATTTTCTTTTCTTAACACTGTATATGTTTATACAAACAAAATCTGAAAAGTTGTTCTTTGATAAGCAAGATTTCATAATTGCCACTCACAATGCTCACATGCTGTTTTAGGAAAGAGACATCATTCATTATGAGGTGTCAAAATACACTGAATGTGTGAGTGCATTTTTTATTTCTGATACAGAGTTCTGTAAATGCTCAGGAAGAAAATGACTGAGCTGTCTCAAGATATTTTCCTGCACTGGCCTGTGTAACTACAAATGCTAAAAGGAAAGCTGACTAAAGTAAATGGTCTGAGGATACAAAAGGCTTAGAAATACCTATGAAATACCTAACTGGGGAAAAAAATAAAATTCAAGCATCAGGACATGAATTGCTGCTTCTTTTGTCAATGAAGGAAACATTCTGGATTATGAAAGCTGACAATGAGTAGCAAAAGGTCAAATAAAGAAATCAACTTGAGACAGCAAATACAGACTGGCATCCTATTGAACCCGAGGCAGAATTTTGTTTGAAGAATTTGGCCCATTCTTTATCAGCAATTCCTTCATTTCAGATGTTCAAATGCAGGCATTTATCCCTGTAGCTACTCCTGTCAAAGACTTCCCTGCTATAAACTGTCTGCACCTGTATCCTGAGGCAATGAGTGCTGGGGCTCAGTGCAGGCTGTGCAGCGCCTGCTGACACCAGGGCTCCCTCTGCTCCCCTCTGACCTGCAGGATCTGTCACTGGGAGATCAAAGCAGGGCTCCTGGGGCAGCTCCATTAGTCTGACAGCTGGACAAAGCTACTTAAGTAAAATGTACTACAGACACACAGTTGGGAAAAAAATATTCCACTAAAGTCACAAGAAATGGCCACAAAGTAATAAAATATCCCAGCACAAACCCCCATCTCAATAAAACAAACCAACAAAATGTTCATGGAGAGCAAAGAGAAATGACACAGATAATAACAATCATCCATACAGAAGCTGTGGTAGGACACCACATAAGGTATATCAGTGTCTCTGATAAAGTTCCGTGTCTGTAGGATTAAGCAGCCAATCATCCTTTCCTCTGACTTTTCTACTATTTGTCACATCAAGCATGTATATTGTATTAATAAGACATACAACTTGGATGTAAAGATAAACAACAAGAAATGATACCTAAAAGTCACCATTAACTTGAGACTCAAGTCCAAAATTATCAGGCCATTTCTTTAAAATATTCTTTAGTATGTGCGCATATATATAAATATACCCATATATGTCACATTCAAGCCTTAATTGCATCATTCTACCAAGAAAAATGCATGAAAATTCAATTTAATGTGGAGCTGGAATGTTGCCCAAATTCATAAAGCATATTTATTGTGGTAAGGAGATTATTTAGGAGATCACATATCATTGAATTATGAAGTAATTGGTAGATGTCACTTTCTAAAAAGCCCCACCACAACAGCTTACACACACAAACCCCAACACACACCCTGACAAAACTAACCAGGGTAACCCCATCAGCTGTACAAATGGTAATCACAGTTCCAAGACAATGAAATTAAACCTTTTATGACCTTCACTATATCATGGTCATTGCAAAATAAGTGACCGGAGCTTAGACACTCAACTTCATCACTTTGTGTCTGTTAAAAGATTCCCTGACTGCCAGGAGAAGAAATATGTTTCTGCTATGACTAGTGGAAGTTCTTTAGCATTTCCAAACCCCTGAGGTAAAATTATACAGAAAATAAGGAGGAAAGAAAAAAGATTGGGAAGGATGACAGATCAACTTGCCTGCCTTCAAAGCTAAACAGTTCTGTCAAACCAGTCACCATTATGAAGTGCTTCCCCTTTCATTGAAGCATTACTGAGTAAAACAACTTTAAAGAAAAAAAAAGAAGTGTAATTCAAAGAAGAAAGAGCTCCGGAACCCACTGTCATGGAAAGGATTTTGCTGCTGGGTATTCTGTGATGTGATTGTCATGTAGGCACAAGTCAAGCATGAACCTGTTCTTTCACACCAAAAGAGTTTTTGTTCAGTTAAATATGAGTATAGAAATCAATAAATGAGCCAGTTAAACTCTGTCTTCCCCCAGCTCCCATATACATATTTTTAAACATTAACTTTGTGAACCCAAGACAGGAAACAAGCTTCAAGCTACTGCAAACACAGTGTTTGAAAGCCACCTATAAATCATATGGTACTTAAAAGTAAACTACCCATTCTGCACATCTTGGGGCTTTTGTGTATAATAAAGGAAATTACTCTGTTCCCACATTCTTCATGTGCACTGGCAGATTTTAGGTAGCATCCCTGTGTCTCACAGAGAAGTCTGAAATAATTTCATTGCTAATTTTTCTTAGCACCAATTACATGGATCATTAATGCTGTGACCTGCACTCATTACTCAAGGACTTAGTTCATGGCTTCTTTTCTCCTGTCTTTCTTTCCAGTCATTTCTGTGCCCACTGTGCACCTGGCTGCTGGTTGATGTAGAACTTACTGCTGTTTCTGCACCACTGCTTTACCTTTTTTCAGCATAGGCAGCCTCATTTACTTTCTCCAAAACGAATTTTTGGATTAACGAAAAAAAAAATGGATTAACAAAAAAAAAAAAGAATGAGGTTATTGAGCAATCACTTAAAAAAATTAAATTGAATAATTTAAATAATTTTACATATATTTTATATGTGCTACCTCTCTACATTAATATTACATATTGTAATGAATATTACACATCCTGCTCTGCTGTCAGTACTGCACTGCAGCTCTTGGAGATTATTCAAAAAGCAAAAACCACTTTCAGCACAACATTTACCTCCTTTGGGATAATGAGATGGTGAAACACTAAAATCCATCTTATCCTTCAAATCTTCTTCATTCTCCTTCTCCCATTGCAAGCCTATCTTTTCCCAGTAGGTGCAAGCCAGTTTCCTAGAAATAAAATAAGAGTTTTATACCCCCAAAGAAAAACACTTTAAAATGAGACCTCTGGAAAAACTGACTACTTGAATTCAGCTGGAAGGATGAGAAGCATTCCTGCCACTTAACCTAGGCGCATTAAGTTGAGAGTTTGTATTTCTTTTGTACTCAATGGACAGAGCCCTCTTCTCCCAAGGGATAATTCTCTGTCTCTGTCCACCCCTGTTTTTGCCTCTCTCCCATTTAATTGAATGTAGCATGAAAGGACAGTATAACAAAAGTTACTGAAGATAATGCTAACATTTTCAGTCTAAGGAAAAACAAACAAACTAACTAACAAACAGAAGTGGGGGTTTTGTCCTCCAAACAAGAGGACAAAATCTGTGAGCTTAGTAACACTTCTTTGACATCTATTTAAGGGGGGAAAAAAGGACTAAATGTTCCACATACGTATTTTCAGGAATTTCATCAGTAAAGCTGCCAAGTAACAGAGGGATCAGCTTGTGAAAATATGAGTATCTGTCTCGTAGGTGCAACAACCATTCTCCAATGACAGCTGTTACAGCGTGCCGTACCTGCAGGGAGACAAAAAAAACTATGTTAAAGGTGTCAGGAAAATAACAGAAATATAATAAAAACAATATTTGCTTGCTGTATATAGGACATGGTGAAGCACATCAATACACTCAGAAGAAATTACAGGAACCCAGCATTTCCTCACTTGCAGGAAGCATTTTGAGGAACACACAAGGAATCACATTCTCATTTTTCTCTCTGGCTTAGTGCTGCACAAAAGCACAGCTCTGAGAGGAAGACGAGACACAGACCTAACTCAGAAAACTGAATTTTCATGGTTAATTCCTTCCTGAGAATTTAAGAAATGTACATTTCTCTAGAATTTGTGGTTTTCCAAGCACATCTCCAGAAGAAAATTTTCTCTGTTCACTACAAAGGAAAGATTAATTTTAAAATTACTGCTTCAGTTGCATCTTAGGGACCCACGCCATGTTTGCTAAGCATCTGAAAAGGCCAGAGAATGAAGGGCCAGGGAGATGTGACAGAGAATTTAAGATAAAATTGAAGGTACCCATTAGAACAAAATCCTCACCACCCTGCTGAACTGGACAGCAGTCACCAGCATTGCTTTGGGACAGATTACAGGCTGGGTGGGACATTGTCCTGGCTTCAGCTGGGACAGAGCTCATCTCAGCAGCTGGTAGGGTGCTATTTTTTGGATTTAATGTGAGAGCAATGCTGATAACACACTGATGTTTACTTGCTGCTAAGCAGAGTTTACCCTAAATCAAGGACTTTTGGGTGTCTCAAGCTCTGCTAGTGAGGAGCTGCACAAACAGCTGAGCAGCAATGCCAGGAGAGGTGACACGAGTTGGGAGTGAGCAAGGGGCTGTGTAGTCCTCAATTCCATCTGGGATTAAACCACGATAGATGTATTTACAGATCTCAGCTGAATGCAAGACAGCTGAAAACGGGGGAAGCAGGGAGAGAAACACCAAGAAACCCACGCCATGGGGATGGGTTTTAAACAGATTTGAAATAAATGCCAGGAAAAGAAGAAAGAAGAAGCACACCTTGGGAATCTCATCAAATAACCTCTGGGCCAGATGAGACAGGACATCATCCACAGACTTTCCATTCCCAAACTGTATCACTGCTCCAGTGGCCTGAATCACATCAACACGAACTCTGTAGTGTTGGTGGGAGATTGTCTGCATCAGGGGTTTTATCAGAGACTCTGATTGCAGATGGAAGTGCTCTGTTAGGGCAGAAAGACAGAAACATCAACCATGTGAGCTCCCACTGTGGGCAGGATCCCTGTCCATGGTAGAGGGCTGGAACTAGCTGATCTTTAAGGTCCCTTCAAACCCAAACCACTCTGATTCTGTGTAGCATGGACATATCCATGACACCCAACAGTTGTTGGGGCCAGCAGTGTGAGATGATTTTGGATGGACTAACGCATTTGGGGAGGGGCTTAATGCTGTTCCGTAATTCTATTTCTTTCTCTAAGTGGGTGACAGACCTGGAGCAACATGATTTCTGTACCACTATGAACAGCAGCCTGACTAATGTTGCTGTGTTTATGTAGCAATAACTTTATACAGTATCAGAGCTGAACGCTGTCCACAAACCCTCCCCAAGCTCCTCCTGCTGCTACTACCCACACCTAACAGCTCATGGCATGGTTTTTCTCCATCAGACAGACCATCGAAACCCTGCAGAGGGTGTGTGCGACCCCTCCTCTCTCTCCTGCCTGCATCCCCGCTCCCTCCTCATCCCCATCACATCCCCGCAGCGCTGCCCGTCCCTCAGCCGCACCTGGCATGGCCCTGGCGCAGGCCCCGGCACAGGCGCAGCTCTCCCGCCTGACCTCGGCGTAGTGGTCGAGCAGGGTGGCCTGGAGGACGCGGGCGATGTCGCCGAGGTAGGGGGCCATGGAGGCGCCGCAGCGCTGCAGCAGCAGGCCCAGCAGCTGCACCAGGCCGAGCCGCAGCTCCTCGCTGGGCTCCGCGCCCTGCGGCGGGCACAGCCGCTGCGCCAGGGCCGGCAGCAGCACGGGCAGGGCCTCGCAGGGCCGCTCGCCCTGGCTGAGCCCGTGGCGGAGCAGCTGCAGGGCGAGCTCCCGGCACCGCTCCGCCGCGTCCCCCGCCAGGCAGCGCGACAGCGGCCGCAGCAGCCGCGCCGCGAACACCTCCTGCAGCACCGCGCCCGGCACCGGCCGGCCCTGCAGCTGCGTGCGGATGTCCTCCAGAGCCCGCAGCCGCGCCGCCCGGCTGCAGTCCGGCTGCTGGAGGATGCTGAGGGGCCGGGACAGAGCCTGAGACAGCTCGGCCGCCGCCTCGGCCGCCGCCGCCATGATCCCGGCACCGGGGCGGCCGCGTCGCCAGGGACGCGCGGGGCGTTTGCGACGGAGGGAGCGCGCTGCTTTACGGCCGGGCCCGGCAGTGCAGGGGTACCGCTCCGGGAGAGGGACAGGGACTGAGGGACGGGGACAGACAGAGGGAAGAGAGAGGGACAGGGACTGAGGGACAGGGACTGAGAGAGGGACAGGGACACGGGGACAGGGACACAGAGAGGGACAGGGATAGGGATAGGGGAACACGGGGACGGGGACGGGGATGGGGACAGGCATAGGGCCAGTGCGGAGAGGGGGACACGGACACGGGGACAGGGACAAGGGAAGAGGGACGGGGACAGGGATAGGGACAGGGACAGCACGGAGAGCGGGACAGGGACAGAGACACGGGGACAGAGACAGGTATAGGGACAGAGACAGAGAACAGGACAGGAACGAGGACAGATAGGGGAACAAGGATAGAGCGGGGTGGAGGGACAGAGACTGTGACAGGGATAGAGCCGGGGAAAACAAACAGAGCGGGGGACAGTGACAGAGCGAGGGGACGGGGACAGGGCAGGGTGACAGGGCTAGAACAGGGGACATGGCCAGGGCAGGGTGACAGCGCTGCGGGCGCTCCCCGGGCCCCCGGGCAGGCAGGCGGGGCCGGAGCCGGGCCGGAGCCGGCAGGACGGAGCCGCTGCTGGGTCCCGGGGATCGAGCGGTGCCAGCCCGGGACAGCCCGGGGGTGGTGCCAGGGCTGGGGGAGCGGGAAGGCACCGGGGGCTCCGTGCCCGGCCGCACTCACATGTGCCACCTCCCTGCTGTCCCTGCTCTGGAGCATCAAATAGCACGGGCAGGAAGCTGTCAGTTTCTGTACCAGCGTTGTATGCTTTTTAGTGTTTATTTGTATTAGCTAATGTGTATTTACATTTATTTGTATTAGCTAATGTGTATGTACTTTGTGTTTATGTTGTACTTATGGATACTTTACACAACTTCATGTTTTGTGTTCTCCTCTGGTGACTCCAAGGAACAGACACCAAACCAAAAGATTCTCAGAGTCCTTTTCTTGAGTGATCACACTGAATCCAAAATGCAATAAATCACAGAACTAATTCAAATTATTTTAAAATAGCCCTGTGTTTACCAGCAGAGTCTATTCCATTCTTGTGCTTCTCCTAGCTTGACTGTGATTTTTTGAGTCCTGTTTCACCCTTTATTCTTTGGGAACCATGGATGTGAATTTCCTGGCAACAGAAGGAACACAAGCGTGCACTGGAGTATTCCTGACAGCACCTGCTGGCCCATGGCTGAGTGCCAGCTGGGACCACACTCCTCACGGCCTGCCACAGAGGTGCTGCCTCCTGTGATGGCTTTGCTCTAAAAACCCCTGGGCAGAGCTGGTGAGTTGCCCTTCCCAGCCCTTCCCAGCCTTTCCCAGCCTTTCCCAAGCTGTGGGTGCTCAGCAGGGCTGGCAGCACCTGCCTTGGCACGGCAGCCTGTCCGGCATGGCCAGCTCATCACCCATGATGGTCAGGACAGGTTCCATGGCCAGCCTGTCCTCTGTGCCCAAGCCGGGTCATGTGTCACAGCCAGGCTGCTGTCCTTCATGGCCATGCCCATCCTTCATGGCCATGGTGTGGCCACTTCACACATCCAGACTGTCCTTCGCGGCCAGGCCTGTTCTGAACGGCCGGGCCATTGTCCATGGTGGCCAGGCTGGTCCTCCTTAGCCTGTCCTCGGGCTGGCAGCCGGGCCAGGTCCTGCCGTACC